AACAAGTCCTTACAGCAAGAATCATTCCCACCCCCTCCACACACAGAGTAGACAGGGATGGGCAACTTGGACATTGGCTACCCAAAATGAGGGGTGGGGGGCTACAAAGCAAGAAGTGTCTAGCTTACAAGTTTTCAAGAGGGAACCTAGTTCCAGAAGGCCTGGAGGAAGGTAGAATCTCCAGTGAGTAGTAGTCAATCTGTCTAGGTGGGGCTGATGCAATGAAGTGCAGACGGGTCTCTTGTGATACAATAGTGAATAATTGTTATCAGGACTGATTGTGATGGTTGGAAATGTAAAGGTAGATGTTTTATAGCAAGGAAGGGAGTGATTAACTTTTCAGTCTAGGAGCAGAGGTCCCTAGGACCATCAAGGGAGAAGAGCAGAGAGCGGGACCCTACTCAGAGAAGTAGTGATGTCTGAAATGGAGGCAGAGATGATGATGTGGAACAATGGAGCAGCTGGAGACTAGATCCAGAGAGGGAGAGCGACTGTGTGCTGAAGACCTGGGGGGTTCAGGGGAAGGATTGCAGGGTATACCCTATGGTTGGTTGATGATGCATGGAGGGGATTGTAGCCATGGCAATGAGACAATATACGATAGAATGAATGTAAAACTAATGTTCTCCCATGTAAACTATCACATAATTCACATTAAAACATTTAAGAAAAAAAAGTATGGACTGCTAAAAGAACAAACTAATCTGTGGTGGAAGAAGTACATTCAGAATGCTCCTTGAAATTCAGGATTGCCGCTTAGTTTCTCATACTTTGGACATATTGTCAGGACGTACCAGTCCCTGGAGACGGATATCATGTTTGGTGAAGAAGGAACATAGAAAAACATGAAGACACCCAGGAACTTGGTGGATTGGCACAGTGGCAGCAACAGTGGGCTCAAATGTAGCAACAATTGTGGGGTTGATGCAGGACCAGGCAGTGTTTTGTTAATGTAAAGTAGGGTCGCTGTGAGTCGATACATACTCAATGGCACATAACAACAACAGCGACAATTTGCTTTACCCAAATAACATGTTACTGTATATGCCATTTTGAGACCTTTTTTCATTCTATGCTATATTAACATGTTTTTGGAGTCCTGTTTTGGCGCTGCAGGTTAATGTGCTGGATTGCAAGATCAGTTTGAACATCTACAAGGTTGGTGGTTCAAGGACACTAGCCCTTCCTCTGGAACCCTGTACAGGGTTACTGTGAATCAGAACGAACTTGATGACACTAAAGTTCCTGAGATAATGGACACTAAAACTAAACAGTCTTAGATATATTTACTAACCTTGATGTGGTATGGGATCTGTGTAAAATTACAGTGTATGGATCATTCCAACTGATTCTAACTATAGTTTAATAATGTAACTTACTCAAAGGGACTATATCATATATAATGTTAAGTGACCTGTAGTCAGTTCCGATTCATAGCAGCATAGGGTTTCCAAGAAGCGGCTGGTGGATTTGAACCACTGACCTTGTGTACTTCATTGTATGTATTATTGTGGTTGTAAAGTGCCATCGAGTCGCTTCCAGATCATTGTGACCCACCCTAGGAAGAAGTGCAGCCAGAGTGCTCCTTGGAGGCCAGGATGGCCAAACTTTGTCTCTCATACTTAGGATATATTAGGAGGGCCAGTCGCTGGAGAAGGATATCATGTTTGGTAAGGTGGAGGGTCAGAGAAAAAGAGGAAGACCCCCCAGCTTGATGGATTGGCAAAGTGGCAGCATCAGTGGGCTCAAATGTGGCAACAATTGTGAGGTTGGCCCAGGTTCGGGCATTGTTTTCTTCTGTTGTGCATAAGGTCCCATGGAGTCAGTACTGACTCCGTGGTAGCTAACAACAACTACAATAGGATTTCCAAGGAGCAGTTGATGAGTTTGAGCAACCGTGGTTTCAAACTGACCTTGTGGTCCAATGCTTATCCTATAGTGCTACACCAGGACTTCATTATGTATAAGTTGGCTGTTGTTAAGTGCTGTGGTTGGTTCCTACTCATAGTGACCCTATATGGGGTTTCCAAGGAGCAGCTGGTGGTTTTGAACAGCTGACCTTGTGGTTCACAGTCCACTGCTGATCCTGCAGTGCTATATCAGAAGTTCCATATGTATGTATGTATAGAAATTGTTTTTTAATATATTATACTTACATTTTTCTCTTTAGAAAATTGTTTCTGTCATTTAAAAAATGACATGTACAGTTGAAATTATTGATTTCTACTAAACTTGATTATTTCCTATTTTGCTTTTTACTTGTTCTCTCTTTGCCTGTTTTGTATAGGTTGGCCCAAGCTACCCAGGAAAGAACTGATCTTTATGCAAAGCAGGGTCGAGGAAGTCAATTTACATCAAAAGAAGAAAGGGATAAGTGGATTAAAAAGGAACTCAAATCCTTAGATCAGGCCATTAATGACAAGAAAAGACAGATTGCTGCTATACATAAAGATTTGGAAGACACTGAGGCAAATAAAGAGAAAAATCTGGAACAGTATAATGTAAGAATTTTATAGCTACTCTGAAGTAATAAGCATCTTAAGTTTAATGCGCACTTTTATCTATTTCTTTAAATTTTATTTTGCACAGTTTATATACTACTTTAAAAATACACCTGGCAGGTACTTACTTAGAAAAATCCAGAGCAATTTAATGTTATACATGCCATAATTCTTTATTTTAAGAATATTTTTTGCATGTTAGTGTTCATATACAGTGAGTATATTTTTAAAAATATTTTTTGTGAATTGGTAGTATGTACCTGGTCTAACCTTAATTTCAACATATCGTATAAGTTTAAAATCTGATTTTACAGTAAGCTGTTAAAATTTTTACACTTTTGTATTTTAACATAGCTTTTTTTTTTGTCAATTTAATAACTTATTACATAATTTTTTGTTGTTAAAAATGGTGTTTTATAACTTCTAAGTGAATTAAACCTTATTACTATACATTCTAAGCTAGTGTTTCTTTAAAAATTAAAAGAAAATAAAACAGGTTGTAGGTTAAGAAAGGTTTCATATTTGGAATGTGAAATAGGGAATAATTGCTTTCTTAAATGGTATGTTGTTAAGTACTGTAGAGTTGATTCTGACCCATAGCGACCCTGTATAGGGTTTCCGAGGAGCAGCTGATGAGCTCGAACTGTCAACCTTGCAGTTCAAATGGCTTTGCAGTCTGGCTCATTAACCCACATCACCACACCAGGACTCCATGAGTGGGCTCTATATAAATGAGTAGAAAAAGTGTCACATAGGTATGAGGTGAGGGTATAATTATAATGCACATATCCAGAGAAACTACCCAAGTTAGTTAATGGCAGATCTCAAAAGTCCATTGAAAGCATAAGCTCTTTAAAATACATACGTACATTTATCTATGTTTAAGGTTTTTTGTTTTGTTTTGTTTTTGCATAATCACTTTTTTTCCTTTTAAGTTTTTATTGTGAATTGAGTGATAGTGTATATGGGAGGACATAGCTTTACATTTATCCTATCATATTTCATTTCATTGCAATGACTGTAATCGCCTCCATGCATCATCATTCAACAGCATTTGCTTCTATTCCCTCTGGATTTCTTTTTGGACGTTCACCAAAGCACTCAGGAATATATAATCATTCAAACAACCAAAGGGTATACCAGCAAGCCTCCCCCTCCACCCCCCCCCATCAGCTGCCAGCACATAACCCCTCTCCCTCCATGAGTCTAGAGTCCCCAGCCACTCCATCTCTCCACGTCATCATCTCTGACTCCATCTCTGGCTTTGCTTCTCTGGATAGGGTCCTGCACTCTGCTCTTCTCTCTTGATGGTCCCCGGATCCTCTACTCTTGGACTAAATGTTAAAAAATGTCTACATTTACATTTGTAGCAGTGGCAGTCAGTCCTGATAACAATTATTTACTATTAAACCACAAGAGTCTTAGCCCTATCTCCTTTTACCAGCCCCGTCTAATCAGGTTGGAAACCACTTAGTGGAGATTCTCCCTCCTCCCACACCCTCTGAAACTAAATTCCCTCTTGAAAACTTGAAGCTAGTTACTTCATGCCTTTTTTACTCCTCCCCCCCCCCCTCCATTTTAGGTAGCCAATGTCTTAAGTTGTCCATCCCTGTCAACCCTTTGTGCAGAGGGGGTGGGAAAGATCCTTGCTGTGAAGATTCATTCCCTCTTTTAAGCTACTACGTCCATAAGCATAGGTCAAGTTCATCAAATTGATGCGGATTACCCTTTTTCCTCTTCTTTCTTTCTCTAGTCGAGTTCTGATCATGCAGCCATTGAAGCTAGGTCAAATGGATATTATCTGTAAGTGTGGGTGTTCTTGTGCATCTCCCCTCACTTCATATCAGCTGGACACTTAACTCTCCACTCTAACCCTCTATGGCTGTGTCCCTGCCCATGTTCTCAGGAGTCCCCAGGTCTCACCACACTGCTGGCCATCCAGATCTCACTCCAGATTGATGGGAGTCTGTTGATCATGGTCAGACTCAGCCCACATCTTAATAGCTGCTTTTCCCCTACTTTCCCTCATCAGTAGATCAACACAGTCACCAGCAAGATTACATGCCTGCTCATGTATTCCCTTTAAGTTTCAGTCTTGGAAGGGGGTTTGCCCTGCAGGAACTTGATTGCTTGTCTTGATGGCTCCCCTGCAAACAACTTGGCTTATCTTGTAATAGTCAATCAGACTGCTGTTTTTTTATTTTTCCTGCTGGTCTTCTTTCAGGAAGTATCTTCAGTTCCTCTAGCTGCACCAGGCTGGTCTACTTGTCTTTTCAAGTGGAAATTTTCTCACCTCAGAAGATTCTGGGTGGGGGTCAGGATTACACCTAAGGTCTTATACACTACAAAGGCTACAAAGAAGGAAGCCTCTTTCACTGGGCAAGTTCTAGCCCCTTTTTTAGGTATTCTAATCAGTTATAAAGGAGCTTTGGAAGCGTAGTGGTTATCAATTGGGCTGCGAACCCCAAGGTCAGCAGTTCGAAACTACCAGCTGTTCCGCGGGAGAAAGATGGAAGCTTTCTGCTCCCGTAAAGATTTACAGCCTTGGAAACCCTGTACAGGGTCGTTATGAGTCGGAACCGACTCCACGCACATAACCAACCCAATCCGTTATAGACTGAAGACAGATTTACAAGCTTTCTATAGTGATGTTTCTGGCTATTCCTTTTTCTCCCCCTCAATTAGTAGGCAAGGGAAATCAAGATTCATAAGACAGTCAAGCATCTTAACATTATTTCCCCTCTTTTACCCATTCAGACTATGCCTCAATCCCTGTATCATAGAGCCCTGTTGTTCCAAGGTTGAGCATACATCACTATTTACCTCTGTCCCATTTAGCCCATGCAAACCTGCCTAAATGTTCTCCTATTTGCCTTGTTCTTCCATTTTCCTCTCTCTTGTGTGTTGCCCCCGCCAATACCTGAACTATTGTGTGTCTATTCTCTACCCTGTTTTCTACCTTCCGCTCCTTTCCCTCACCCACAACCCTGGTAACCAACAAAGACTTTTTTTCATTTTAGTGTGGTATTTTTTCTTAAGCTTTTACAATAATGGTCTTATGCAGTATTTCTCCTTTTGTGACTGATTAATTTCACTCAGCATAATGTCCTAAAGGGTCATCCATGTTATGCGGTGTCTTACATCTTCCTTGTTACTCTTCAAGGTAGCATAATATTCCATTGTATGGATGTACCAAAGCTTGTTTCTCCATTCTTCCATTGATGGGCACTTAACCTGCCTCCATCTTTTTGCTCTTGTAAATAGTGCTGCTATGAACATTGGTATGCATATATTTACTCATGTTATGTCTTGTATTTCTTGTGGATACATACCAAGTAGAGGGATTGCTGGATCATATGGTATGTCTATTTCCAACTTACTAAGGAAACACCATACTGTTTACCAGAGTGACTGAACCATTTTGCAATCCCACCAGCAATGTAGGAGGGTCCCAGTCTCTCCACATCCTTGCCAGCATTTTTTGTCCTCTACTTTTTTGAACTTTGCTCTTATTGCTTATGTGAGATGATATCTTACTGTTGTTTTGATTTGTATCTCTCTAATCATTAGACATTAGAGATATAAATCAAAACAACAATGAGATATCATCTCACAACAGCAATAACAGTAAAGTTCAAAAAAGTAGAGGACAGAAAATGTACAGGGTCACTATGGGTCGGAATTGACTCAACGGCGCTTAACAACAAGAACAATGGCTAATGATCGTGGACATTTCTTCTTGTTTGTTGGCTGTCCTAATGTTTTCCTTAAAGGAGCTCTGGTAGCGTAGTGGTTACGAATCGGGCTGTGAACCACAAGGTCAGCAGTTCAAAACTACCAGCGGTTCTGCGGGAGAAAGATGAGGCTGTCTGCTCCTGTAAAGATTTACAGCCTCGGAAACCCTGTTCAGGGTCACTGTGGGTCAGAACTGACTCGACAGCACTTAACAACAACAGTGTCTTCCTTGGTGAAGTGTTTGTTCATGTCCTGTGCCCATTTTATAATAGAGTTGTCTTTTTCTTGTAGAGGTGTTGTTGTTATTGTTGTTAAGTGCCGTCGAGTCGGTTCCAACCCATAGCAACCCTGTATAGGGTTTCCAAGGAGTAGCTGATGAGCTTGAACCACTGACCTTGTAGTTCAGACGGCTTTGCAGTCTGATGCATTAACCCACAGCGCCACACCAGGACTCCAGAGGTGTTGTAGTTTCCTATATATTTTAGAAATTAGTCCCTTGTTTTATGCATCGTTGCAAAAAAGTTTTTTCTATTCTGTGGGCTCCCTTTTTACTCTTTTGGTGAAGTCTTTTGATGCACATAAGTTTTTAATTTTTAGTATGTCCCAATGTCTATTTTGTCTTTTTTTGTTTGTGCAGTTTCACAATATTTGATAGTCTGTGTGTACCTTGTATTAGGGCCCTCATGTTTGTCTCTATTCATTGATGGACTTTATAATTCTGGGATTAAGTGTTTTATTTTAAAACAGGTAAGTATACATTCATTTCTCAATCTTTTGATATAGAGTCCAAATATTTCTTTTGAGTATGTGATTGTATGAACCACACAATAGTTTTCCTTAAAATTGGATGAGAAGGATCCAGGATTTAATCTAGAATTATGTGTTGAATTTAGTTGTAGTGTTTCTCTAATCTCTTATCTGGATCAGTTCCTTGGTCTTTCTTTGACATTTGTGACCTTGCTATGACATTTTAAATTATTATAATGTTACTTACTATAAAGTATGCATTGTATGTAAAATGTATTCATTTGTATATAATGTATTGTATTTCTCCTTAGTCTTTTATATTTGGTGTGCCCCTTTAATTACATTTTTAGTTAAATTTGAGTATTTTCCAAACCTTAATCAGGTTTTTAATGAAAGAAATCTTTCCTTTATATTCAGATTCTCAGTTTATATGCTAGTTACTCAAATGACAAAACTATTGTTAAGTGATATCCAGTCAGTTCCAACTCTCAAAGTGACCTGATAAAGGGTTTCCAAGGAACAGCTAGCAGGTTTGAACTGTTGATTTTTTGTTTTGCAGTCCAACAGCAGTGAGGTTAGCCCAGGATCAGGCAGTGTTTCGTTCTGCTGTGCATAGGTCTCTGTGAATCGGTACTGACTCGATGACATCTAACAACAACAATTTATCCTACAGTGCCACACCAGGATTCCAGCATAAAACTAGCAAAACAGTATTCAGGAACAAGAGTGATACATAGTAGCCTTCTGGTCTTGAGAATCCAGTGTGCTTTGTTGTTTTTAAGTGCTGTCAATCCAGTCAGTTCAGACTATTAGAGAACCTGTATCCTGTATAGGGTTTCTGACGAACAGCCGGTGGGTGTGTTCTGCCAATTTTGGGGTTAGCGATCCTACAGTATAGTATATGCCACACCAGGAGTCCATTTTAGTCGGAATCTTTTATGAAGAGAATGAAAAACACCGGTGAAACAGGTATTCAGTTAATGTAGAAATCAGTTCATATATTATGATGCTGTGGGTTAATGCAACTGGCCTACAAAGTTGGTTTGAACCACAGTGTCCATGGTTCAATCTCACCAGTCAGTCCTAGGAAATCCATACAGGGTTGGCATAGTACAGAACCTACTCAACGACATTTAACAACAACAACTTGTCCTTTATTGAAATAAAATGATTTTATTTTGAGTTCATGAAAACATCAGCTAGTTGATCTCCACATTTATCTTGTGTATCATGTAAAGCAAGATACTGATTTAGTCCTTGATGATCCACCCATCTCTTAAGAGTGTTTGGTAACTAATATCTATGTGATAACTAGTAACTATTTTCTAAATGAATAAGTGTCAGTATCCCTTAAACTTTAGTCAAAGAGGATATTTATTTTTTTCAATTCAGTGTACAAGTAGGCTTCCAAAAGTTTGTGGAAAAATGGAATTAAATGGATTTTTTCCTAGAACATTTTGAATCTGCCTTGCATGTATATAGTTTATTAGCTATCTTTTAAGAAACAGTGCCTTACTTTCTTAGAAATTCTGCCTCTTGAATATATTAAATTATCATTTTATATCTAAGAATATATTCATTGTACTTAGATGTAAGATGATAATCTAAAATATGTGTTGTATTCTGTTCATGTGTATAGAGGGGCAGTCTGAAAATTATGCATTGCAGTGTTTTGAGAACTTTATGGATGTGTTTTCTAAAATTTTGGGGTGCCAGGGCACATAACAACTAAATATAAGTGGTAAATTTGAAACCATTAATGAGCAAATTCATTTCATTTTAGTAGTATTTTCTAGAATAATTCATTTTATAGACTGTACTTAGGTGGTGTATACTTTAAATAAAAGATTGTTGAAATTGGATTTTTTTAAAAAAATGCTAGTTTTTTAAAAGCTAAATGCAAATACTAGCTTTATCAGTAGATACTATTAATCATATGAAGATACACTAAAAGCATTTCAAATTTTAAAAAATCACAATACTCTTAAAGCAAGACACAAATTCTATAGATTTTTGTTTTAATAGGTATGGCAGGTATGAAAGTGCAGCCAGACACCGGGGAGTAATCATGTGCCTCTGATTAGATACTACGTATATCCTCTTTTTACATTGAACATGTTCTAAAGTAAGCAGTGTCCTTAGAATTTATCTTGTAGAAACTCTCATTCTACAAATAAGAAAATTGAGATCCAGATAGCATGACTTTATGAACAATATAAAACTATTAGATAATTAATGTTAAAGTTGAGAATCCAACATAATTTGAAATTTGTAAACATCAATTTTAATTTCTATAAAAATTTATGTAGAAAGTGTAATAAATAAAATTAATTACTATTTTTAAAGAAACAGCAACAACCATGGATATTGCATAATGCAGGATTAACTACAGTAATTGCTGCACATCAGATTTGTTTACTGAGAAAACAAAGATATAAGAACAGGCTTCAGATGACATCAATGCCTGCTTTCTGAAACTTTAAAATCAAGTTATTAATGACTTCTTAAACTCAAGAACAGTAATGACCTTCCTAGTAACTTTCATACGAATTCCCTATGATGACTGCTGGTGTCACCACTAGCAGTAGGGAATGGCAGTAACTCTCCAGCACCTGAATCCTGACTGCAAGGAAGACAGGCTGTGTGTGAGAGTGAGCATGTCAAAGTTAAGTAAATGGAAGTATTAGGAAAACTGCAGAATTATGAAGTATCATCAGGGCAAAAGGTCTCATTTAGGGAAGGAATTGTTGTTAGGTGCTGTCAAGTCAGTTTCGACTCATAGAGATCCTATGCACAACAGAACGAAGCGCTGCAGGATCCTGCCCCATCCTCACAATTGTTGATAGATTTGAGCCCATTGCTACTGCCACTATGTTAATCCATCTCTCTTTAAGGGTCTTCTCAATTTTATGCTGACCCTGCACTTTCTTCATCAAGCACGGTATCCTTCTCCAGGGGCTGGTCCCTGCTGATAACATGTCCAAAGTATGAGAGATAAGTCTTGCTATCCTAGCTTCTAATGGAACATTCTGACTGTACTTCTTCGAACAGATTGGTTTGTTCTTCTGGCAGTTCATGGTACTGCTAATATTCTCCAGCACTATAATTCAAATGCATCAATTCTTTTACAGTATTATTCATTGTCCAACTTTCACATGCACATGAAGTTAGTGAAAATTACAGAGCTTAATTAAGGCATCATCTTACTCTTCAAACTGGTCTCTTTGCTCCTGAACACTTTAAAGAGGCCTTATGCAGCAGATTTGCCTATCTTTTATTTTGTTATGTTATTTATTGGTCCAGCTGTGAGGATTTTTGTTTTCTTTACATTGAAGTATAATCCATACTGAAGACTGTGGTCTTTGATCTTCATCAGTGAGTATTGAAAGTCATCTTAAGCAAGATTGTGCCATCTGCATATAGAAGGTTAATGAGTCTTCTAATCTTGATATAACATTCTTCATATAATTCAATTTAGTAAACGTTGTTATTAAAGTGCCTGGAGTTGGTTCCAACTGATAGCAACCCTGTATGGTGTTTCTGAGGAGCAGCTGATGGGTTTAAGCCACCAACCTTTTGGTTAGCCATCTAGTGCTTATCCTACAGCACCACACCAGCATAAAGATTGAATAAGCATGATGAAAGGGTACAAACCTGGCACATATCTTTACTGATTTTAAACCATTCAGTATCCCCTGATTCTTTGCTGATAACTGCCACTTGGTCTGTGTAGTTTCCTCATGAGCACAATTAAGTGTTCTGGAATTCTATTCTTGACAGTGGTATCCATCATTTGTTAGGATCCACACAGTTGAATACCTTTGCATAATTAATAAAGCACAAGTAAAAATCTCCCTGATACCTGCTTTCAGCCAATATTCATCTGACAGCAGCAATGGTAGTTCTCTATGTCCTCTTCTGAATCTGGCTTCACTTTATGGCAGTTCTCTGTCAATATACTGTTGCAACTGTTTCTGAATTGTCTTTAGCAAAATTTTAGTTGTGTATTATATTAATGACACTCAATGGTTTCCACATTCTGTTGGGTAACCTTTACTTGGAGTAGGCACAAAGACGAAAGTCCTCCCAATCAGTTGGCCAGGGTAACTATCTTCTAAATTTCTTGGTGTAGATGAGTGAGTGCCTCCAGAATGGTATCAGTTTGTTGAAAGATTTCAATTTGTATTTCATCAATGCCTGGAGCCTTCTTCACCAGTGTCTTCAGTGCAGCTTGGACTTTTTCTTCCTTCAGTATCATTGGTTCTTGATCATATTGGACCTGTTGAAATATTGTGCCTCTTGAAATGGTTGAACATTGAGCAACCATTTCTGTTTTGTGCAGTGAGTTGATTTTTTCCATTTTATTTTTCTTTATTTTTTTAGCATTCAACACATTTTCCACTTTGTTTCATATCAATGATTGCAATCCCCTCTCTGCAACGACAGCTATCCTACTTTGTCTTTTCGGCTCCCCATTTAAATTTTCTATTTCATAATTAACTAAGAAAAAATACTTTATGTATTCTTAACAAAACAATAAATAAGTACTCATTTAAATGTCCAAAGGGTACATTTCTCCCAAGCAGCCTTCTGCCTGCAGTACACAGCTTTTCTCAGTCCATTGGCCTAGAGACCGTAACTGCCCTGTCTCTCCATGCCACTGCCTTGGCCACTGTCTTTGCTGTCGCTGCTTTTCTAGGTAGGGATTGAAATTGGAATTTTAAAACTTTATTGAAGTAGATTGACATGTAAAAACTTGCTCGTATTTAGTGAATATTATCTTATAAACTTTGACATTTCCATAATTAATGAATATGCTTCTAGTAATCTTTCTCTCGGTCTCTGTCTCTCCCTCTCCTGCCTCCTTTTCCAAGGCAACTATTAATCTGTTTCTGTCATTATTGGTTATTTTTTATGCAATTAAATTTTAAATTTGAATTATTTTTATTTCCATAGAAATTGGATCAGGATCTTAATGAAGTCAAAGCTCGAGTAGAAGAACTGGACCGAAAATACTATGAAGTAAAAAACAAGAAAGATGAATTACAAAGTGAAAGAAAGTTAGTATAGATCAATGGCTGTTACACAGTATTTGTTTTATAAATGTACTGTTCAAGTTTCATTTCAGTATTTTAAACTATATATTGTTAGTGCATCTTCTAGACTTTTAAAATTAAAGGCGTTGATTTTCGTTGACTAGTTACTTGTGGAGAGAAGAGAATGCAGAACAGCAAGCTCTTGCTGCTAAAAGAGAAGATCTTGAAAAGAAGCAGCAACTTCTTAGAGCGGCAACAGGAAAGGTGGGCAGGTTCTTTTCATTACCTCAGTTTGCAGTGAGTCATTGAGTTAGTCATTATTAGACAAGAATTGATTTGTTTTCAAGCTGTGGGTCATTTTTTCTGGGTTCTAAATAGTAGAGTAGATTGCAGATTATTTATTCTATAAATATGCAACAGTAAGGATTGTAAACAGCTTACTACCAGTCTCAGTACTTTTAGTGATACCAGCTTGGATTTTTCGATGAGTGATTATGGTGATTATATGCCACTTTGTCAGTTCTGAGACCTAGCATCCTTGTATAGGGTTTTTGAGACTATAAATCTTTAAGGGAGCAGAAAGCCTCATCTTTTTCATGAGGAGCAATTGGTATAGTTGAACTGCTGACCTTGTGGTTAGCAGCCCTGTTAATAATCCACTATGTTACCAGGGCTCCTTTTTAGATGAACATTGTTTACTAAATGGCATTGAGTTGGGTCTGACTCATAGCTACCCTGTACAGGGTTTCTGAAGAGTTGCTGGTGAGTTTGAACCGCTGACTTTTTGGTTCAAACTGACCTTGTAGTTTAATTCTTATCCTACCTTGCCACACCAGGAGTCCTTTTAGATGAATGGCAACGACTGTGTGATGAATGTTGTTGTTAAGTGCCGTTGAGTTGATTCCGACTCATAGCGACCCTGTATAGGGTTTCCAAGGAGCTGCTGGTGAGATTTTTTTCAGTCTGACGCATTAGCCCACAGCGCCACACCAGGACTCTTGTGTGATGAATAGTCCCTTTTCATGCTAGTGTTATAGAACAGAACCTGTAACATAAGGCGTTGCAGGTAGTTGGCATATTTCAAGGGGTTATGTTGATGTATTGGGGAGGATGTTTAATCTCATATTTTTTATTGTATAATATAGTAGACACATTTGTTTTTACCAGGAGCACTGTCATTTGGCAGTACTATTTTAATATTTTTTTAAAATCTCTAACAATTCAATAGGCCATATTAAATGGAATAGACAGCATAAACAAAGTGCTGGACCACTTTCGTCGAAAAGGAATAAACCAACATGTTCAAAATGGGTATCATGGCATAGTGATGAATAACTTTGAATGTGAGCCAGCTTTCTACACATGTGTGGAAGTCACTGCTGGAAACAGGTGACATGTTTTTGATTGTCATTTAGAATGTTTAGAGGACGGGGGGTGCATAAGGATAACTAGCTTCAGAAACAGCTTTCTGTAGTTTTAGTACAGTATGTCTTCCATTATCTTCTTATATCCTTGGTTCTTTATTTAATCTCCTATTAGGTTGTAGGTGCTAAGTGTTCCTAATTATAGAAGTAAACCTTTCCCTTTTGGGACTTACTTTTCTCTACTCACATCCTCCACTTAGGAATTTTCTAAATAGTTTGTTTTTGTGATACAAGTTGGGTTGCATAAGAATAAATGAATTGTCTAATATGTAAATGTTTATACCACTTTCAAGTCTTAACAATAAAGATGTATCTTATTCTGTTTGTGTTAGGTTATTTTATCATATTGTTGATTCAGACGAAGTCAGTACGAAGATTTTAATGGAATTTAATAAAATGAATCTGCCTGGAGAAGTAACTTTCCTGCCTCTCAACAAGTTGGATGTCAGGGATACTGCATATCCTGAAACCAATGTAAGTTGCTGTGTGTTAAGGTCTGTTTCTGTCAGTACGTTGCCCTTTCTCATTAGTTTGTTTAGCACTTGCTAGTGCCAAACGCTATCCATTGGGATACAGTGGTCAGTGAGAGAAACATGCCCTGCTTTCAAGGAGAAACCCTGTGAAACTATGTAGTACTTTAAATAGAACCATGAGATGAGGAACTCAAAGGTCCAGCCTTTTTCTACTTTCAAATCTACAAATGACCTTTGAAGTTTTAGAGAGTGAAAAAATGAGCTTCACAAATTTATAAATGAAGCAAGATATAAACGAATACATGTCGTGTTACACTGAAACTAATTTTATAAATGAAACTAAGTATAGGTGATAAAATTAGAAAGAAACAGAAGGAAATACAGAAGGAAATGGTTGTAACAAAACCCATATAATAGTGATGGTATCAAGTCAGTAGCTACTGTAGGTGACCTCTGTGACCAGGAAAGTGCTCTTGGGCTGTCAGTGGTGGTCAGTTTCTTATCCTGCAAGGTGGTTATGTTGGTGATCTCTTTTATAATGATTAATTAAGCTTACCATGTATTTATTGCATTTTTCTGTGTGTTATAGTGCATGATTTTTTAAAAAAGTTTTACAAATCAAGTAGTTTTAGGAGAAAAGGGAGAATAATACTTAATTTAGATTGGTATAATTCATAAAATTAAAATATGTGATATACAAGATCCTAAGTATTTCACATATATTAAATCAGTTGGAGTTCGTAACACTACAAGGAAGGTTATTATCTCACTCTTGTGATTGATATCTAGGGAAGTGGGAAGCAACTTGCCCAGAGCACACCTCAACTCTTAACCCTGTATTATTGAAACCTTGATGATTACCAGGCTATTTCACTGGAATGATCCTTCTAAATTCTTCAGTATAAGCACTAATAATATAAAGACGTATGTTTATTTGTAATTCATATTCTAATAACATTATTATTACTTTTAATATTTGCTTGCTGACAAAACATGTGTCTTTAGGATGCCATTCCTATGATCAGTAAACTGAGGTACAACCCCAGATTTGACAAAGCTTTCAAACATGTGTTTGGAAAAACACTCATTTGTCGTAGCATGGAAGTTTCAACCCAGCTGGCCCGGGCTTTCACTATGGACTGCATTACTCTGGAAGGTTGGTATGAGTCATTTTTAGCTTTGAATAAAGAAATATTAATAAATTGAACACGTGATATTTCTGATGAGTAAATCTTCTATAGTATAGCTAAGTCATGTTAGTTTAAGAGTCTCTTAGTAAGTTGCAGTTTAACACTTTACATTTAAAATGTCCCTGTGTATCTCCTAAGAATTAGGACTTTCTATGTAACCACAGTATCATTGTTATATCTAAGATTTTTTTTCCCCCATAGGAAAAGTGGATTTTAAGTTGTTTTTTTTTTTTTTAAGTATGTATGTTTTCTCTAATCTTTTCATTTCTCCTTAACCAACTTTAATAATGCTTCTATGTCCCAACATTCCATTACATCATCTTTAAGTTTCAGTACTTCATGTTGCTAGATCCAGTGGCCAAATCTCAGCTGTGATTTTATTGGCTTATTAACATCTCATAAAGTTGACCCAGCGAAATGCATACTTCCCTAGTGTTAATATTTTACTGTGTTTTTGGTGAAAGTTTATACAATAAATTAGGTTTTCAAATAACAGTTTCTATACAAATTATTCAGTGATAATAGTTAGATTTTAATGTGTCAACTTTCTCATTGATTACATTCTGGTTGTTCCATTTCTAGAGCTCTAAAGTTTCACTTCCCCTTCTCATCTTCACTTTAGAGTAATTGTTGACCTTTTGGTCTCATCTTTTGGTCTCATATTGTTGTTTAGGATTTTTTTTTTTAATGGAGCGCTGCACTTAGGGTAGTATCCTTTCTTTTGTGTGCCAGTCTATTATATTTTGCTTAAAGGTGACCTCAGATAATTTCTACTTAAGTTTTAATGCTATCCTAGAGTAATAGTTTTAGGCACTCTTGTGTCTCACTTGGTCCAGTAAGTCTGAGATCTGTTCATGTTTTTCACCTGTTTTATCAGAGTCCATCTGTAGTGGCCCTGCTCATATCTGTCCATACTGGCAACCAAGTACTATCTGGTTCCTTGGTTTTGTGTAGTCTGTTAGTCTTCTAGACTACTTTCGTCTCTGAGACTTTGATGTTTATTTCATTCTCTTTGGCTCCTAACAAATAGAGACCACTGGTTTGTCTTAGATAACTGTTAGCGATATTCTAAGACCCCAGACACAATTCACCTCATTAGGATGCAGGACATGAACTTTGTGAAATGTATTTTACCAGTTGACTGTTTTTCTTTGAGACTAAAGTTCTAGGCCCTAAAACCCAGAAAACCAATCTTGTAACGTAGTTGATTATGTCCGGGAAGCACTTAAATTAAGCATTGAAGAAGTGTCCAAACTCAAATTTTGTTTTCCCAAAATGTTTTTCTATGTCTGGTCAAGGATGTGTTCATGTGTTTTCTTTTTAGATTCTTTTAATATAGGGTATGTCCCCCTCTTCCATGACTTTCCAGGTAGAATTTTCTTATAGAATGGGATTTGTATTATTTTGTCATGATTAAATTGAGTCCTAGTGTAGTGCTATAGGATAGTATTGGACTGATAACCACAAAGTTGGCAGTTCAAACGTATAAGGAGCTCCTCAGAAACCCTATACAGAGTCGCTTTGAGTCAGAATTGACTCGTTGGCACTTAATAGACTTAGGTTTGACATTCTTGGCATGGATAGTACATGTTTGATGTGCATATTACTGCATCATATAATGTCTGTCTCACTTTGAGTGTTGCGAAGTTTGATCACTAGCAGATCTCTCAGTTAAAAAAGTACAGTTATCTTTAGTAATAAGTAGTTACTGTTAAGCAGTTACAGCATAGATTAAGTAATTATAAGTATTACTGAGTAAAGAATTTGTTTTTCGGAATCACTACATTTCTTACATGTATTTTTGTTTTGTTTTTGAATAGGTGACCAAGTTAGTCACCGGGGTGCTCTAACTGGAGGTTATTATGACACAAGGAAATCTAGGCTTGAATTACAAAAAGATGTTAGAAAAGCAGAAGAAGAGCTAGGTGAACTTGAAGCAAAGCTCAATGAAAACCTGCGTAGAAATATTGAAAATATCTTTTTGTCTTGTGCTTAATGACATGTACTGTGGGGAAAGGACTGTGTTTGATTGATCTTTTGCTTCTTAAGTAGGTTTTCTCATTTTCAGTGGAGAGATTTTTCCATGTGTTTCATATTAGCTTTTTTTTTTTCTTCAACTAATCACTGTTTGACTTCTAAAGACTATGGGGGATAAAACAAAACATTTTAATACTGACTGTTTGCTTAGCTGTTTGTTAAATAGCAAATACTAGTGAGTCTACTTTTTGGAGAAAAGAACCTAAGGAACAAAGAACTTTTGAGTAAGTGGGTTTTATCTATTATTTTTTATCTATTGATTTTGAGTAAGTGGGTTTTATCTATTGATTTTACTAAAAAACCTACTGCTATTCAGGCAGTCTGACTCATAGACAGAGTAGAATTGTTCCTTCGGATTTTTGAGGCTGTAAATGTTTATGGGAGCAGTTGGCAGCCCAGTGCCTCACTGACAGAGCCACCATTTCCTTTTATAAATTCCTCTTGTTGTTGTTGTTGTTAAGTGCTGTGGAGTCAGTTTTAACTCATAGCGATCCTGTACAGGGTTTCCAAGGATGTAAATCTTTATGGGAGCAGAAAGCCTCATCTTTCTCCCACGTAACAGCTGGTAGTTTCGAACTACTGACCTTGAGGTTCACAGCCCAATTCGTAACCACTACACTTCCAGAGCTCCTTATAAATTCCTCTAGGCACCATAAAATTCTTCCAGCTTCTCTAATCATTATCCAATTCTAAAATAGCTTATACATTTCAGATAATGTTGTTAGAGCAGCAGGATCGCTTCTTCTGGTATAAAACTCTGTCTTAGTTATGTATTGCCATGTTAGGTATTAAAACTGAGAAATTTAAAAATATTTAATTTATTAATAAGTAATAACCACACACCATTGCATGTTAATGTACATGTTTTTTAATGAAAAGTATTTCTAAATCTAGCATTTAGTAACAAGAATGACATTACCTTACATTTATATAAATTCAGAATGTCTGGTTTAAAAAACAACTGATTCTGAATCATCTATTTCTGTAATCTCATATGACACAGTGAGTTTGTTGTTGTTGAGAGTACACAGAAAAATATATACCAATTCAGTTTTTCATGTGCCATGTAATGATGTTGATATGACACTTTGTTTAGAAGAAAATCTGCCCATATACAGGTACAGCAAAGATGGCTGCCAAACTTTTACAGGGTTGCTATGAGTCAGAACCAACTTCATGGAATTAAAAACAACAACATAATATCATAAGCATAATTGATTATGTAATTGATTTTTTTTTTGGATGAAAAGATATAAAACTATATATACTATTGGATTTTATTTGGCTTCTTTCAAGGTTTCCCAATAATGTTTTGTATAAATAATAGTAAATGAATGTCCATGTTTTGGGAGTGAACTGATGGGGATGAAATATTTTAAGCTTCTCTTACAATTAAACTGTTTAGTCTGATACTTAATTCACTGTGATTCTCTATGAGTCTAAACCAACTCGACAGCATTTAACGACAGTGATCCACAAAAATGAGGAAATAACTGTTGTTTAGGAGTAAAATTGAGGGGATAAATATGTTTATAAAGATTTAAGAGAATTCAAAGCATATATTTATAACCTGGAGAGAATTTTCCTTAGCACTGTGTATGGATTAATAATGAAATTGATCAATTAATGAACCAAATGCAGCAAATAGAAACCCAGCAAAGAAAATTTAAAGCATCACGAGATAGTATATTATCAGAAATGAAGATGCTGAAAGAGAAGAGGCAGCAGTCAGAGAAAACCTTTATGCCTAAGGTTCGTAAGTATGCATTCTGTTTGTAGTTTTAATTGTATAGAATTAAAGTAGATCATATATATAGGTTATGCTTGGGTTTCACATGTTTCATTTTTGTTCAAATGAACACTTATGGAAATACCTATTTCTGTCTATACCATATTTATACCCCCTGGGTATAAATTCTTTTGTTTGTCTATTGAAATATACATTCATATTTCAATGGACAAACAAGCATTTGAGATATTGCTTAATAATAGTACTGTCGGTTAATCATTATTTAATTTTGTCATTAACTGGTTTTATCTGTAAAACACTATTTGCAGAGTTATTTGAATACTTTATTACATTTTGTCCAGATTGTATTACAGTGCACAGAAGGCAAACTCAGTTACTGATAATGCATATTGGTCTGATAAACTTGAAGAATTGACCCAAAACTTACATTGTTGTTGTTGTTGATAAGTACCATGGACTCATAGTGACCCTGCACAGGGTTTCCGGGGCTGTAAATCTTTACGGGAGCAGAAAGCCTCATCTTTCTCCCACGGAACTACTGGAAGTTTCAAACTGCCGACCTTGAGGTTAACAGCCCGATTCGTAACCACTAGTGCATTAAAAAACAAAACAAAAGCAAAAACTTGTTGCCATTGAGTACATAGCAACTGTACATGATAGAGTTGAGCTGCCCAGTAGGGTTTCCAAGGCTCTGGATCTTTATGGAAGCTGACTGACACGTTTTTCTCCTGTAGAGCAGCTAATAGGTGTGAACCACTGAACTGCTTCCTCCAAAATGGATGAATAGTAAAGGAATTATTAGTAAAAGCAACGTATCCACTATTTTTCTACATTAATAATATCTCATAACGTTTTATTTTTGTTCTTAGAAATGAGCTTGAAGACTTATTTTATGTAGTTTAATCATGAGATATGATCCTTATTGGTACCTAGTCCTAAGCGTCAGTTTTGATGGTTATCTAATATTTGAATTGATACTATTATTTATTTTACTCACTCTAATATTACATTTAGATTGTTATTGAATGTTTGATTATTGGAGCTAGTACAGTGACTAATACCTTTGTTAATAAATGGATAATCTGTCATATAGCAACGTAGCTTACAAAGTTTGGAGGCAAGTTTGCATGCCATGGAATCCACCAGAGAATCATTAAAAGCAGAATTGGGAACAGATTTGCTTTCTCAACTTAGTCTGGAAGATCAGAAGAGAGTAGATGCACTGAATGATGAAATTCGTCAACTTCAGCAGGCAAGTGCAATTAACAAGGAAAAACTTCCATTGATAATAGATTTCAGTGTTTTTCTGAACTGTTTCAGATGTGTTAAGATTATAAGAAATCTTTATTTTCTTCCATTTTACTTAATTCACACCATTAGTAAATGTGAGCTGTTAGCTTTGTTACGTTTATTTATCGGAACACCTTTATGTATTTAATAACTTTATCTTGATTAATCATTTCAGTAACATTTTGGTTTTGCATGCCAAGATGTAAATAACCAACACTGAGTCCAAAAAGCAAGAAAAGACTAATTTTAGTTGGGAGTGTGCCTTATAAAAAGAAGTAGGCATAAAACCTAGGAAGCATTTTGAATATAAAAGAAAATGAATATATGAAAGAGAAAATGAAGAAAGTATAGGGTTTTTAGAAAAGTGTAAGAGCCCATTTCAGCACTTAGGTTGTTGTTATGTCCTATCAAGTCAGCTGGTGGGTTTGAGCTGCTAGCTGTGTAGTTAGCAGTCAGGTACTTATCCTACAGTACCACACCAGAACTCCTTCAGCACATATGAACACTAATAATGGGGTGATAATTTTTGCTCAATGTGGACAACTAATTTTTTTCCTTCTTCATAATTCTAGGAAAACAGACAATTACTGAATGAGAGAATTAAATTAGAAGGTATTATTACTCGAGTAGAGACATATCTCAATGAGAATCTGAGAAAACGCTTAGATCAAGTAGAACAGGTATGTTGTCTGAGGATTTCTTGATGACAATACCTATTGAAAATGGTTGCTGTATGAGAGTCTCTGATCCAGAGCATGGCTTTGGGAGTCAAAGACTAGAAATCTTAACTATCTGCTCTGCTGTTGAGTTCTAGCATGCCATCTGAGGCAATTTCAATATTTCTAAGCCTCAGTTTCCTTAAGTAATCATAATACTACCTGTTTTGTATAATTGCTATTCTGGTACATTGTAGATGCTCAGTAAATGCTTGTATTTTCTCAGTGATAGTCATTCTGGCTGCGAAATTTTCTAATAATTACATTTCTTATCCTCCTAATGAATCCTTTAAGTATTTGTAATTACATGAAGTATATTGGTTTTTTTCCCATATACCCAAATATAACAACTGTATGAACTGTTGGCAGTCTTAACATTTTGAAAATAATAAAATTTCTGTTTTATGGTTTAATACTTATAGTAAGTTCTTTTCGTGTTGAAGGAACTTAATGAACTGCGAGAGACTGAAGGGGGTACTGTTCTCACTGCTACAACCTCAGAACTTGAAGCCATCAATAAAAGAGTGAAAGATACTATGGCAAGATCAGAAGGTGAATTTTTTTCAGTAAATGTTTTGAGTATTTAATTAAATTTAGCTTATTCATTTTATGAAATTATTTAATGTGAAATGAATTTTCCAAACAGGCAGAAGCATGTAGTAGTGATTTTCTATCATCACTAACAGTTTGTGGTAAATATAGAGTTGTGTGTGTTGGTTATAAATATTAACCTTAGTTGTGTTGAAATGTTTGTCACAATTTTATTAGACCATAAATTATTCATTTTATGTACTTTAAATTCCTACAAAAGTTTGAAATAGCTGAATCAAGTTTCATATTTCCTAGTGCTGAGAGAAAAATTTTGGTTTCTTATAAATATGTTATTAAGTACTGTTGAGTAGGTTCCGACTCATAACAACCGTAGGGTTTCCAAGGAGCAGCTAGTTGGTTTGAGCCACCGACCTTGTGATCCAGTGCACTATCCTGCAATGCTACACCAGGATTCCTTTTACAAATATAAGAAACATTAAATAATGAAAATTAAAGACTTAGTATTTTTCATGTACACTTAATTATTCAGAAACCCTAAGCAGAGTCGCTGTAAGTTGGAAATGATCGACAACACTTAACAGCAACAACACCTCCTAATTATATCATAAATTTTCAGAGTAAAATTTAAGCACTGGGAGAGAACAAACAAGATGGCGGATCGGGTGGACATATAGCAGAGAGCTCCGCCAACAACACAGAATACCCAACCAAGCAGGTTCAGGGGATGGTCCCAGAACTCTCAACCACATATAAAGGAATACTTAGAAGGCTCGCAGCTGGGGGAATTTGTGGCAGAAGCAAGAAATCTATTGCTTTCTAGTTCGGGA